ATTGATTCAGTGACTGGGATAATTGGGATGGGAGTGTCAGAGACAGTGCGATTGGCACAGAACAGAGCAGAGTTTAGGGCTGTTGTACATAGGGTCGCTATGAGAAGCAAGCGACTTGACGGCACATAACAACAACATAATTAAAAGTATTTTCTTGGGACTTGTAGATTATTTATCTTAGCTTCTCAGGATCTAGAAGCAATTATAAATATCCTGTGCAATTTTCTAGGAATCTGTAAGAGAACAAGAAATAAAGGGAAAGAACAATTGGAGGAAGTGGGGTATTTGAGTTGTTTTAATCTTTTTTTCCTTTTCTCTTGTGAGATGCCTCCTGAAGTGGATTTGACGAAAGCAAAGAGACAAGATTTTGAACCATCTGTGGAACAAGCAAGATACAGCAGCTGCCAACAGAACATGGCACTGATACCAAAGCCACAGGAGGTGGCCTCCCCTTGCAAGCCAAGCCACTCTGATGAGCCCCACATTGTGATACAAGGGAATAAGGACAGCAGCTCCCGGTAGGGGGCCTAAGTTCTCTCCCTTTCTTATTCTGCCCTGTCTTATGTGGTCTGTATCTTTAGAACCAGCAAATGGTTTGTTGTGCTCCCTCAGGAACTTACACCACCATCTGTTTCTTCTAATGTAGAAGCTTGATCTCTTCTGCTGTTGAAAGTGTTGCCACATACCAACGGAAGCTCCGGCAAAAGCAGTTGCAACAGCAGTTCCGGGAGCAAATGGAGAAACAGCAGCAAGGTCCAATATCTTCTCCATCAGTTGAAGGGCCAGGTTATGTGAGACGGATAGGAACAGAGACCCTAGGGGATGCACTCTGAACGTGGAAGGCTCATGGACAGGTTAATCTGCTCCTCTGCTGATAACAGTATGTTGTTGTTAAGTGCTTTTGAGTCAGACGCATAGTGGCCCTAGGGAAAACAGATGTGCACCCTGTCCTAGCCTGTGCCATCACTGTCATCTGATAGTTTATCCCGTTGCTTCAGCTGCTGTGACACTCCATCTCGTTGAGGGTCTTCCTCTCTTTCGTTGCCCCTCTACCTTTCCAAGCATGATGTCCCTATTCCAAGGAATAGCCTCTCCTAACAACACACACCCAACGTGTGTGAGACCAATCTTTACTATCCTTGCCTCCAAAAGCTAGGTCTAAACTTGACTTCACTAGAACTTCTCAAATAACATAAGAGGATAGGAGAATCCAAGAAGTCAACATAGATTTCTCTTCATGCATTTTCCTATGTCTTAAGAGAATTTTTTATTGGGGAGGAAATAGACCTTCATATAATCTTCTGGAATTAGAAATTTCAGAGCACAGAACTTTTTTGTTTCGTTTCTGAGCTATCTTTAAACATAATGTGGAGGGTTTGGAGATGATGAGCTTTTAGTAGATTATTTGCAACTTTAGTGTATATGAATCCAAATTCAATGGGACTATTAGATACCTAATTTGAATCCAAATTTAGTAGGAATATTATACTTGTTTTTTGGGGGGTTCTGAACTCAAGTGTGGAAACAGATAGAACTTATTCTAGACCTCTGAGCATTTGCTCAGCTTCATCCTAAGAATGATAGATTCATGGAAGTCTCACTTAATATTTGGTTTATTAATCTCCCTCTCAGCATTGTCAGACTGAAATTTGTGTGGAAAAATATTATTGTCTTGCAGGTGTTCTTAATGTTATTCTAGATCTTTCACTTCCTCTGTAGAAGCTCACTTTAGTGGTATGGAGGGGTAGGGAAGATTCTCTTTCAGGATTACCCCGTATCCATTAATAGACATCTAGAGCTATTATTTATATTGGTTTTACATATTGCGCTTCTGGGGTTTTGTTTGAACAAGAATCATCTCTTTCTTTACTGTTTTTGAGTCAGAATTTACTCATAGCTCTGTTGAATTTCCGAGACTAAATCACACTGGAGATTGCTCTTCTTTCTCCATTGGAGCTGCTGGTCATTTCAAACTGCCCTTGGATTACCAGCATAACTCCCTATTGACTACATCTCCAGAACTCCCTGAACAAGGGGATTGTTTTATAAAAAGCCAGCCAGCCACTAACCCAGGTGACTTCTAATAATCCTTTTAATTGTTTTTGCTGCTGTGAGAAACTTCTGTTTTTCCACCATGTTGGTGAGAAAAACCTGAGGGGAGTAGACATAAATGACACTTGATTATGTGATTCTGATCTTTCTCTCTTGTGAACTATAGCAGTGCCACCAGCCCCTCCTGTGAAGCACAGTACTCCTTTAAGTGCTGCACCAGAACCACTCACTGAGAAAGACTCCCTTGCAGGTCAGTCAGACCAACAGAGTGATTTAAATATCAATCAGTAGAAAACTTCTGGTATTCACAGCATGTATGTTAAAACTGCATTAAAATCCCATGTTTTGTAGCTTGGTGGAGAAAAACAAGACTCAAAATAGATTTTTAGTAGTGATAGCACATTTTCTGCCTCTTCATTGTCCTAAGGGAAGCTTTAATGTAGTCTTAGCGATAGAAATTTGAAAAATTATCACAGGATGCTTAAGGCCTGGATTTCTCTTGCCCCTTTTTCCTGTTGTCTTATGTGAGAAATCTACATTTGTTCATGCTGCATTTTTTTATGATCTCTATCCTTGCAGACAACCTTGACTTGTGGGATCTGACTCCAGATTTAGAGGACATTATTGTTAAATCTTTGCCTAGGCCAGAACCACCTCATATAGTTGCCACATCAGCCCTGAAGAACCACTTGGTGACTCAGAACAGAACTCCCCAAAGTCTCTGCCTCCAGAAACCACACTCAGACTCTGGACCCTGGCCTCCCCAAACTCACAACTCTAACCAGCACCTAACAGGTAGCAGAACAATAATAGTAAAGAGCGAAAATTGAAGGGAGCTTGTTAATTCTGTAAATGATAAAGTAAGAATGACATTTCATATTTGAAAAGTTGGATAGAATCATTCTAGGAGAATAAGCAGTGTAAGTAAATGGAAGAGAATTGATTTTCAAAGAGTCAGAATGTTCTTTTTGGATCATGACTTTAGATACAGTTCTTTTAGCTCTTTAGAGTACCAGGAAGGTCCCATGTAATTAGCTTAAAAACTTTTTCTAAAGTAGGTTCATTTTGAGTAGTTGTAACTTGGTCTAGGATTAACAGAGGGATCTGCCCACCTTAACTATTTTCACTCCTGAGTTCATACTCCAAGTTAGGGTTAAGTCCAAACCAGTAATTACTGTCAGTCCTTAAACCTCATGGCAGCTATATTCTAACCATTTCATCTTCCACAGGAGACTGTGATTCTGGTTGCAAGGTCCAGGACATGAAGAAAAGGAAATTGGATCCAACTTAGCCGAGGTTCAAGTCACAGCATTGGACACTCTATAAAAGGACCATGGAACTCTACTTTGTGATCATGAAATTGTTCCTCATTCCTAGGGAATGAGCTTTATTTTCAAGACTTTAACAGAGTGGTGTTCAAGTGCTGTAGTATATAAGGCTTTGATCAACTGAAGGATAGGCACTCCCTGCCATGCAGTGTGGTAGCTCTGGACAGGACAGTATTAGTATCTTTTCACTATTTATTCTTAAACTGTTTTATTAATAAAGATAAGAAATTTTAGGAATTATCAATGGCTGCTTACCCTCAAGCAATACAGGCCTTATGTAGAAGGCACCAGGTCTGAGGATTTTCTGCCTCTTTCCCTTTTTTGTGTCATCCTTTTTAAATGTGGTCCCCCCACCCCTGTGAGCACGGAATATCATACTAATAACAGACTACAGGGTGCTTTACTTACCTAATTTCCCATTTCTGAATTTATGAAATCACTACCTTGCATTTTCAAGGCTAACATTTTTCTTAAAATCAAAGCAGTAATGATCAAAGATCATAAAAAAGGCCTTCTGATAAAGCACAAGAAGTCTTTTGCTTTGTAGTTGAAAACATAGTCGTTAGGTGCCACAGAGCTGAACACAACTCATAGGAACCCTGTGAACAACACATTTGAACCCTGTGCTAGACTCACAATCTCATTTGAGCCCATTGCTACAGTCACTGTGTCATCTGGCTGAGGGTCATCTTTCTTGCCAACCCCCCACCTTTATCATGCTTCCTTTTGGGGAAGGCATGGAAGCATTCTCCAAGAAGTACTCTCTCCTAACAACATGCCCAAAGGATGTGAGAGGAAGCTTCATCATCTTTGTCTCCAAGGAGTACTCTGGCTGCACCTTTTCTAAGACAAACTTAGTTTTTTGGCAGTCCAAGAGAGATGCAGTATTCCCCAGCACTACAGTTCAAAGACATCAATTCTTCTGTCATCTTTATTCAATGTCTAGCTGTCAGATGCATAGCTATTTGTATTTCCCCATTTTTAATGCAAACTGTATTTTACCTTTAACATAAATTGTTTTTATGATGAGATGTTTCAGAATTGTTTGCCTCAAATGATGAATTTGCAGTTTTACCTTTTTAGGTGCATTTTGAGCCATGTCATTGTAAAGTCATATTTGTTGTTATTTTCTGGAATATAGATCCATTTGTAAGTAACTAAGTATGCAGTAAGGAACACCTCCATAGTGTCTGGAAAGCTAGTCTTTTTTTTCTTCTTCTTCCCAATACTGGTTTATTTACAGTTTGTAAACATTGTTTTTCACACCGGATCTTTCCCATTTCCTTCATACCCTCCCCTCCACCCACAAACTGTGGGACCCTATGATTAATGCCCTCCCTCCCCCTTCTACTACTTCCCCTTGGATTCTCATACATGTTCTACAATAATGGTCTTATACAGTATTTGTCCTTATGGGTCTGAGTTAATTCAGATAGACTTCTTTTGTAATATGAAAAGGCAGCAATTTATTACTGCTTTTTACTACTAAAGTTGGCTTTTTCTAGCCATTACTTTAGGGTCCTCTGGTCTCAGCTACCCTACCTGGAGACATATGGCCTTGCAAATCATCAATAGTTGTGAGAGTAGGAGTGCTTCCCACACTGAGCAGCAAGACTTGAGGGAGAACCTGGTGGTGGCAGTGAAGAAACTGACAAGGTGTAACCAAAGCAGCTCTGAGATAAAGGCCACAGATAAAGGTTTTGCTGTGCTTGCTGGATAACAACAGAGGCTGCTTGATTTGTTGCTGAACTGAAAATGGAACCTGGACTAATTTAGAAATTGTGCCTTGGGACTGCTGGGCTAAAACTTTACATTTGCAATAGATGATATTCTTTGCCTCCCCCACTCTCCAATTTATTTCCCTAATAAACTCTATTCTTGGTTTCACAGCTGAGTAAATCTGAATCAACAATGAATAAATGAACCTCTTGCTACTGGTGTGGCTCTAGAGGCACCACAGGACTGGACTACAGGCTCTTACCTTCTCTCCTCTAGGGTGGTGCTATACTCATCCCCTTAGACCCTTCCAGAGATGCCTTATGCATTCATGTCCCATTTTCTGCTCTCTAGAAAATTAGCCCAGTTTCCTCATCTAAATGCTTTTACTTTTTAAATTACATTCTATTAGGTATTCATCTTTTGATTTTCATGCCTATACCACCTTTTGTCTGCTATTTGTAAACTCGCTCATGAGTTGTATTTGATTAGAAAGCACCTAACAACAATTGCCTCTCCTCAGGAAAAATACCACTATCCTCTTGCCTGTAGCATAATCTTAGTTCATGGCAGAACTGTTGCTTAACAGAACAAGGCATCTCGTTAAGAGCCAAGTTACATACTAACAACAGTGTCAATAAGAATTTAAAAAGGAATTTTCTAGAAATGAAACTGCACAGCTCAACAAAAGCAAGTTTGGTTTATTTGAATGGTTTCATTAAATAAGTCTACAAAGGTAACAAACTGAAGCACAAAGCGCAATCTTACAAGAAGC